TGTATCCGACAGTTCAACCCGTTGTGCCTGCGATGCCTGTCCAAGTGCCATTGCCTCTCGATCACCGGGAACGTGAACAGCAGCTAAAACACATATCCCCTCTCTCTGGTTTGGAAGACATAGGTGTTGCTGTTGAGTCCGATGAAAAGTGTCACGACATCCTTGAACAAGTTCTTGATGTTGAAAATCTCATCGCACATTCCCTAGGACAAGTCAAGGAGGAGAAGGATCCTGAGATCACCGCAATGGTGACCAGACTCTTGTCACGTGCCGAAATGTTGGCTTCCCCGGAAGCCCTTGAAGCCGTTCGACTTGAAGCCACAGGCCTGGAGAAAGCCGGTGCTTGGGATCTAAATTCAGTCCGAGAGTATGATCAAGTCGCTGCTGAGGCGCGACGATCCAGTATAAAAGTCCATTTCGGGCAGTTGATGTCGCTAGCATCCGTCAAGTTCGCCGAACTCGCGAAACACCTTCAGAAGATGAAAGGTAGGATTGTGTATCGCGGAGACTGTGCGAAAGACGAACATGGCGCAGCAGCTGTCTACCAAGAATTGGGAGCAAATCCCACGAGCGTACAAGGTCTTAATAACTGTCTCGCTTATGGATCCCTGCCAGGGAATTCCACCACAACAGCGGACGCTATAAAGGCTTATGTGCAAGCACTGCTGAAGTCCAAGTACCAAACTTGGATCACACTCCCGCCTGAGCTCCGGCCAAGGTGGTGGCGCGAGCGTTTCGTGAAACCTGTGGTTTTGCTCGTTAAAGCTCTTTATGGGCATCCTGACGCTGGCGGACTCTGGGAGGCACACCTCAAAGGGTTCATTAGTGAACTTGGAGGGCGTGAGGTCGCAGAGTTTCCTGGAAACTTCTGGTTCAAGGAGTCCGGGTTACTTCTCTCGACATACGTCGACGACTTGACGTTGGCCGGCCCCAGCCACCTTCATAAAGACTTCTGGGAAAAGTTAACAAGACTGGTTGATATAGAACCCCCAGAAGACATATATCGGGTGCTAGGCAGGAATCACCTTTTGATAGATGCTCCAAAGGACCCAACTGAACCCGATCTTAATGCCGCAATGGGCAGATTGAAAGGGGGCATGGCGTTCGACATGCGGGATTATGCCCGTCAAACGGTTGCATTATATCTTGAGGTTGCACAGCTAAAAACTGAAAAGTTGCGTGATGCCACCACTCCATTCTGTCCCGCTGGATCCCTAGATCCTGCAGATGACGCCTTGGAGGGTGAGCTCGGCTTCGCCGCTTGCCGCGTGTTAATGAAAGCCTTGTGGCTCGGCCGTTTGGCACGCCCAGACCTGGTCAAGCCCATTGGCGACCTTGCCTCATTTGTTCAGAAATGGTCTAGAAACTGCGATAAGCAGCTACATAGGCTTGTCTGCTACATAAACAGCACGGTCAACAGCACGCTAGTTGGCACAGTTCAGGATTCGACTGATGAGTTGCATCTGGCTCTCTATGTGGACGCCGATTTCGCTGGAGAACGAGACGCAAAATCAACGTCCGGAGGATTCTTGACTTTGAGTGGTCCGCATACGCATTTCCCCCTTGCATGGGTGTCTAAGAGGCAGACCTCGGTCTCCCGATCGACAACCGAGGCGGAGATCGTATCCCTCGCATACTCCCTTTATCAGGAGGCGCTCCCTGCGCTCAGCTTATGGGAGCTGATCTTGGACCGACCATTCCATCTCAAGATCCACGAGGACAACCAGGCGACTATCCTCGTAGCAAAGAAAGGATTCTCATCCAAGCTACGCTGTGTCCAGCGCACCCACAAGGTGAACCTCGCGTGCATCGCTGAACAGCTGGAAAGCGAACACATCTCGATAGAATACGTCCAAACCGACATGCAGTCAGCAGACATCTTCACGAAAGCTCTTCCACCCAACAAGTGGGACCATGCCATCCGGTTGCTCGGCATTCGTGTTGACCTTCCAGAGAAGCTTGAAGACGTTCGTGAAAGTAGAGCCGCTAAAGCAGCTGCCTAGTGCGCTGCAGCATGTCCGCAAAATTTCCAAAAGTGTGCAAAGTGCCTGGGTGACGCTTGAATAACTTGCGTCAGTCGTTGTGATGTAAACTTGACTTCAAGTTGGCGTGGTAATGCGCCCAAGACACTCCCTCAGTGCCGTCAATGAGGGGGGAGTCAATTATCACGATGACATTTATGGCCCAGAGGTACATGAGGTAGGTTCTCATGTAGTCAGTTGCATGTTGTACATTCAAGTCAATGCCAGAGCATGTTCCAATCACTGCTTTGGCTCAAGTGCTGAAAACAGCGCGTTGCTCGCGCTAACCCCAAGGTTAAGGGAGAGGTCGCAGTCACGGAGGGTTCGTTCCTTTTAAGGTCCCGGGTTCCCCCGTTGTTGACAAAACTGTGTTTCCCTCTCCTTTGAGTCCAATTGCGTCAACCGTTCTTTTAATGGGGGCAAGGAATCCCAGGGAAGGGTCATCCCATGTACTCAGCTAGTCCAGTGGTACCCCTTTTCCCTTTTTTTTTGGGTGGCTGCCCCACTCAACATGGTCCAAGCCTCAAAAAGGGTTCCCTTTTTTTTCCAGGGTCACTGAACAACTGAGTGTATGTCGGACCTTTTGATCAACCCAAAAGTCCCGGACTGGCTCCTTCGGTCAGCTTCCGGAACCTTCGGTCAGCTCTATTTGGGTCCGTTTCTCGAGGGGGAAAAACGGGTGGAAGAGGACATCTCTATGAGGCTCATGCCATTTCTCATTCTCAAGCGCCGGCAGGTAAAAGCCGAACTTTGTCAAGATTCTTCACCCTCCCATCCACTAACATGCAGCATGACTGAGGGGTTGTGGAAGACTATGTTCCTTTAAAACGGACCCACTGCAGGAGAAACCAAACCTAGTCAGATTGGAGTCGATCAATGTCCAGCAAACTTTGCCAATCAATTCGAGTCAAACTGAAAAGGATCTTTGGGTCAGAGTCTCAGTCAGTCTAAACATCAAGATTTGGAGCAAAGGACTCTACTGCTACTGGGTTGGATCTTCAGACTTTAACTTTTTTGGCTTCCCTTCATATTTCGTTTTTTTAAGCAGCAACAAGTAAAGCTTTTTGCTGGGGGGTCCACAGCACCCAAGAGGATTGGCAAAGCCAAAGGCCTCCCTCCGGGTGATGTTCCTCGATCCCAATGGCAGGGCAACCATTGCACGTCGTCCAAGCCCAAGCCCGAGCCGGCGGAAGACCATTTGGACATGGGCCTTATGTTAGTTGGCGGGAGGGATGGCAAGAGTCCAAATATTTGTGCAAACATGATTCCAGCGCAACTATGCACCCTACAACCCCATTTTAGTGATTGAAGACCGTTGTAGGTTTGATGCCCACCGACTCATTCACCCACTGATTTAGATACGGCAACAAATGGGATATATGGTTTGCCCAGGACGACCTCAGAATTGATCACCCTCACCGCGAACCTGACTAGGGATTACAAGGCCACGTTTTAAACTGAACCTTGTGGATTGCATCTTAGGTGGATTGAGTGTTGCCCAAGCTCAAAAGCATTTTTCCACCCAGGGCTGACAGCCCTAGTCTGGGCACTAGTCTGGGCAGTTTTGTGATAGAACTCCAACATGACAATCATAGTAATTTGATTTGGATGTATGTTGGCAGGGGTCTCTATAATAACTATTTGGACCCAGTCCCATGACCAATTTGGATTCCCCAAATAGGATAGTCGTAATTTTAGGGGGATTTATTTTATGACAAGAAAGACAGTTCGTCACCCAGGATCCACTGAGAAGATCCGAGCAGTGAACATCCACAGCCGCCTCTTGCTCAGCCGGCCCTTCGGCAGGTTGATTGTTTTTGCGGTCTCCAATTAAAATGTCACATGTGGATTGTTTTGTATTTTCCCGCTGAGCCCAAAATGATGGTTGTCCCTTTGGCGTTCCTTAAAACCGCCAACCAAAGGGTATTTTTCAGGAACCCCACCAACATTGTTGTTTTCTTGTTTGCTGTTGTTAAAAGTTGCCAAAGTAAGGCGTACCCTCAAGAGAAGCACGCATTTGGATGTTTCCTTTTTCTGGGGAACCCCTGTTTTTGTTCGGTTTTGAAGAGACCCCAAATGGAAACCAGCCATTTTGCTGGTCCCCTAATGCTGAGACGCGCCCATGTTAGGGTAGACTCAATATTGTCTGACACAAAATCTGAGCATATTGTTGGTTGGTGTGAAGGTTTGGCTGGTAGTGCTGCAATATGTTGTCAAACGTGCAGTGAGTGCATGTGTATTGAATGTGTATGTGTTGATATGTATGTTTGATTTTCAAGTATGCAGTCGTTGTATGTGCATGTGTTTGTTGTGGATTCAAGTGTGTCTTCATCATGCGTGTTAGTGTCTTAGGGTATTATTAACTTGGTCAATTGTATTTCGGTGGGCTTGCTTGCATGACTCAGTGTTTTGCCCTGAACTTCCCAAGTAAATACAGCTGCTCATTTCGTGCGAGGGTGTGCTTTTGGCTTAGTCTTTGTTTGTGTCCCAAACTACTGTGGATGGAAAAAATCCTGCACCACCTAAGAAAGCCTGGAATGATGATTCCCTGGTACATGCCAACAAAGAAAGGTTTCTCATGGTTTCAACCTGGCCTACTCGCCAATCGCAATGGATTGACTGGGTGTCCCGGTGTTCCCTACTTGAGTTGTGTTGCGAATCAACAATAATCTTCACCCCGAAATTCAAGGCCCCTCTAAGAATAGAAATAGCTGTTCAAAATCCTAGCGTCCCCAATGCCAAATTACCCAATACCAAATTAAATAGGGCAATTGTAAACCATTACTAGGCTAGCGATTTGCCACCGAACTCTCCCCCAGTCGCCCTCTGCTCGGACCTACACATGACCGGACCTGTCCAGAAGTGAAAAACACAGGACTTGGCATTGTTTCTCCCCTGGTGTCTTTTCATTCCGGGATGGGGGGGAAGCCTTTTATTACCAGAGGAAGCAGATGATCCTTGTCTTGTTGCAGACGCCCCATGCCGGATGCGAGCTTAAACCGATCGATCGATGCCGCAGGAAGGCGAAGCACGTGCCCCGAGTTTGGACTTACCGGTGCGGATAGGTAGGGAATGACTTTCCAAGTCCGGGTGTTGGGAACGAACCCGTTAGGGGATTCCCGTAAAGGAAACTATAGGGGATGCTTCATAGGGCTCATTCCCTCATTCCCTGAGCACCAGCAAGATGACCATGGGTATTTGTTCCTATGTGAGAAGTATCACATCTTATTTGTGGCTTCCACAATAGTCATCCTATGTATAAAGGACAGTGTGATCACCCCCTGCCATTTCCGGAGAGCTGATTTGCCATGGCCAAGACGCTGCTCTCGCAGCACGCAAAGAGGCACACACACACAGACACAGATACAGATACAGCGACACACGCACAAACACGCACGTCACCCTGGGAAAAGGCTTTGGGACTTTCAGACCCTGCGCAAGTTTGTCTGGATACGGGGATCTCTTTGGCGTGACAAGCAAGGGAATCACGACTGAATCAATCATTGACCCTTGTTGGCTCCCAAGCCTTGATTGGCTTTGGTGTGTTTGCAAGGAACGCCCTTTTCCAGTGATCAAGTAGGATGGGAGTAAGTAGCCAAGGGTAAAAGAGTCCTACTGTGGATGGAACAACATCCTGCACCAGATTGAAACCATGGTTGAAACCATAGGTTTGTTGCTGTTTTGGAGGGGAATCGAATCATTCCCCAGGGTTTCTGAACAAGGCTTCAGAAGTTTGCTGCCGGGGTGCCGGTGGCGCTCATGGGGGACTTCAACATCAAGCCAGGCGCCGAAAAAACCTTGGTGCATTTTGCTTGGATGTTAGGACTTTAACTTTTTGCCAACTAATGTGGTTTCCATTAAACCACTAAACGAGTTTTTGTTTTTAGCAGAGAAGCAGAAAGCAACCGAGAAAACGGAGCGGACCGGCGCAGGTGCCGCAAATGGGTGCGTGGTCAGGATCTGTTGGAGCAGTTGGGAGGGCTAGGGATTGGATGGGGGTGATCTTGTGGAGTTTGGGGAGCAGCCTAGGGATTTGATGGGGGTTTGGGGGCCCAGTCAGGTTGTATCTTTTGGCTGCCAATAGGTTCACAAGAGGCGGTATGATCTGACCGGTTGGCCAAGCTGGAGCCGGGGGTTGGTAAGCCACGCGCCCGTCACCCGCCTCAGTTGATTGGGAACAGGCGATGGTTCAATGGCCATGGGGCATAACCTATGGCTCCATTTTGGGGTGGATGAACATCCATTTGACCCCTATTTTGATGTTCACCAGGGGTACAGGGTTTGGACCCACAGCCAAATAAGCGCGTAACCAGCATTCATGACGGCGGTTTGCAAACTTCGCGTGGCAGCTTTTATGCTTTGAGGTCGGGTTTAGAAACTCTTAAAAGGGCATAGTGGAAGTTGGGTATATATTTGTATTGTCGGAGAATCTACGACTCTTTGTGTGTTGTGCAGTTTGGCGGGGGCGCAAGACCGTCGGCAAATTTGGTGGGGGCCCTCTAGTAGATTTTCAGGTGTTGATTCGCTCAGGCAAAAAACAACCCAGAGCATCTATGCATGTATGTACGTGTGTGTGTGTGTAAGCTTCGGTGCATTTGCTTGGATGTCAGGACTTTAACTGTTTGCCAACGAATGGGTTTTCCGTTAAACCACCAAAAGTTAAACTTTCAGCAGGGGGCAGAAAGCAACCGAGTAAGCCATTTGCCGAGCCAATGCCAGAACATCCCCATACATAATTGCCAGTGCCAGGTGGGGGTGTTGATGCCAATCCTCCATTTGCTGAAACGAGATATGTTGATTTCCCTTATTCGTTTTAAAAGGAATTCATCACTACTAGACATATCTTTATTTTTTCCTGGGGCTCTTTCCCCAAATGGAAGCAATGGATTTGTAGATGTACAAGTTGTTTGCCATTCCAGTGGCCGACAGCAGTGACACGTGCCACTACAGGGCAATAGCCCCTATTTGGGTAGGGAATACACTACTAGGCCCCCAGCTAGGTGCCCTTTTACCGTTTCTTTTTTGGGGAGGGTTCCCCTACTCAAATAGACTACAGAAAAAAGTTGGTACTCTTATTCTAATCTCTCTACTGGAGGACCTAGACTAGACTACTGCAAGGCTTTGAGGGCTAAAAGCTTGAGTCATTAGGGGGGCGTTACCCTTAGTACACGGCAAGAGTTGTTGAAAAGAGGCCGCGCAAGTCTTAAAGCAAATGCAATCAGACCAGAGTGCCCTTCACTGTTGTTGCCATGTTTTTGTTCCTGTTTGCTGGTTTTGTCGGTTCTCGTCGTCTTTTTGCTGGTTTGCGGCAGCAAGAAAGAAGCCAGTGGTTTGCTACCATACCAAGAGTTGGCAAGTGATTCCAAGCTCGTTGCCCATCGGTTCCCGGGTTCTTTCAGATGGCTTAGGTCCCAGTCACAAGCCACTCCCAGGGGAGTGTCATTCTTTTGTGACGCCCTCACTCAAATTTTATTTCGCTTTTTTTTGGGCCCCCCTCAAAATGGCGTTTTTGTTTTTGTTGTTTTTTTCTATGATTTCCCTGTTAAACCACCATGTTGGGGGCGCCCTCAAAAAAGAGACACCCCTCTTGTGCCGTCCCATGCAATCCTTGGGGGAAGCTTCCGTTTGCAAGTAGCAGAAACAATGTTTGAGAGAGTGGCACTTTTTGAGGTGTTTTTGTTTTTGAGGAGGTTCGGCCATGTTTCCACCAACCCTCCAGACACCTCCTCGTACGATCTCATCGTGCACGGTGGCATCGCGGACAAGGTCCGCCCAGAAGCTCGTAAGCAATGCGCAGGCGAGGAGCGAGCGGCCCTATGGAGGCTTAGAATAGCCGGCGTTACCCGAACTCCTCGACTGTCCCAAGACTTCCGAAGAAAATACAGCCTGAACTGCATATGAGTCAACTTCAGAATTATCAAAGACCACTTTATCAACAGCGTTTCATTCAAGACTGTTTTTTTGCATTTTCCTTGGAGAACGATAGGGGACTCACTAAAAACGATACCCCTCTGAACATGGTTTGTGAACATGATGCATTCATTCACGTCTCAAGTGTCATTCTGCTTGCAAGCAATGTGGAGCGTTGAGCGGCGTGAGCGGCTCACAAGCCCGGCGCAAGCTGCAACCTTCGAGCTGGAGCTGCCGAAGTGTAACTTGTGTACCGCGCTTGTACTGAAAGTTGCGACTTGCGACCTGGAAGTTGCAGCCAGCAAGCAAAACCGCCTAAACCGATGGCTGGGCCCAAGCGCGAGGCCGCGCGACCCTTCACCAACACTTGGGAGCAGACAAGGATAGTTTAGTCCGCTGATCACATGACTACCGCAAGGCAGAGAAGGCTATTGTGTGCTTGCTTTGCTCTAATAGCATATACCAATGTGAAAGTTTTCCGCAACTTGACACACGCCCAGAACGATACCCCTGTCGATACCCCATCGATACCCGGCAATGCCCCGGAGTTGCCAATGTGAGGCCTAGTGCATTTGCTTACAAAAGACAAGCTCGCATCCTTCGGCAGACATCCTTCAGCACACAGAAGCCGTTGGGATCATGATGTCGTGCCTCTTGGGCTTCATGATGAAACAGCACTGACACGAAGACAGTCAGCCCAACAAACTCGGCGGACCAGGCATTTACAGGGTTGCCAGATGCCCGCAGCCTGGTAGAGAAGCGACAGCGCCGGGCAGAAAAGCAGCGGAAACGAGTTGCAGCGCAGAAGCAAGCAGCAAACGCTGCTGAGTCCGACAGCTCCACGTCCACTTCCTCCTCTGGCAGCGACAGCTCAGCCAGCGAAGAGTGAAAAGGTGTGTGGAAGCTTGGGAGTGGGTGTCAAAATAACCAGTTTACCCTTACCCTGCATGACTGCATGCTGCTTGGGTGCTGTTGGTGTATGCCGATAGAGATGGAACCCGCAGAAGGTGGCGCTTCGTGCTCGAAAGACTACGCATGTGGTTACGATGCCAATGCTGCGTTTGTGTAGAAAGTTTGTTGGGCACGTTACGAATTCGCACGGCGCCACAGCGAGAGGGCTTGGGTACGCAGGATCCCTGCAGAGGGTTCACTTTTCAACGACACGCGCCATCCTCGGAGAGGGTTCGTCGGGCACGTTACGAATTCGCACGGCGCCACAGCGAGAGCGCTTGGGCACGCAGGATCCCTGCAGAGGGTTCGGCGGGCACTTTGCAATTCGCACGGCGTCACAGCGAGGGCGCTTTGACACGCGCCATCCTCGCAGAGGGTTGGTTGGGCACTTTACGCATTCGCACGGCGCCACAGCGAGAGCGCTTCGAGGCGCGCGATCCCTGCAGAGGGTTCATCGTTCACTGCACGCACGCACGAAACGTGGAGAACGATAGGGGACTCACTAAAAGTAGAATGAATACACCCCACACAGCAAATATTGACGCTGGCTCATATGATATGATATTTGGGTAGACTTCCGAACAAAACAGCTGCAACTGGATATGATCGGTGGACAGTCAGTGCTGCCAACCTCAACAAACAACAGTGCTGAGCAGACAATATGTGGTGTCGCCTTGTGCTTGGGTAGCTACTGTGCTACTCTTGTGGGTGCTTCGGAGCAACCTTGTGTTGGACATACATCCCTATGATGTCCACCCATACTGTGGATGCACAAAATCCTGCACCACTTTGATACCATGGGAAACCACTACTTGCTGGCATTTGCAGGGGAATGATCATTCCAGGGTCTCTTAGGCGGTGCGAAGTGGATTTCGTCCATCCACACTAGTTCCCAAATGAAAGACAAATCTCCAAATGTCGCAGCTGCTTTGTTTGGTGGAAAATCGAACCAGTCGCGAGGAGTTCCGAGTTCGGGCAACGCAGGGCTCTGAGCTTCACCGAACACCAGGCTGTGACATTTCCCGGTTTGAAACGTCACCTTGGCTCTGCTGTTCAGTTGCCACCATCAAAAGAATGGTTGGGTTGATATAACCGCCGATGTTTTATAAGGATGCTCATCATCCAAATTGGGTCCCAAAGCCGTTCTTTGAATTTGGGCAAGGAACCCCAGGCTCGGAACGTGAGGTTTAGTAGGAAATATGACCCTGATGCCTCGGAAGCATGACCCTGAATCGCCGCACACCAGGGCTCCCATTGAACTTCCCTTTGCCTTTGAAACAGCACCTGAGCCACAATCAAAACCGATTCGGGTAGATGAAGGTTAGTATGGGACGATCCCAACCATAGCTGCGGCCGCCTTCTTAATCCTGTACATTCTGGGTATACCATTTTAGTACCAGGTTTTGATTGCGACTCACCTTGGTGTGTTCGGAATGTAATTTGTTTAGAGGTTGGACACAACCTGAACCACCGAAAGGGCTCGTAGCAAATTGGTGAGCGCTGCGGGAGCCAGACTTGGGATGGCGTTTCCGAATTTGCCCAGTCCCAAGGGGAAAAATCGGGCTAGATCGCCTTGTGGCCAGTGGCTGAACATCCCAACAACAAGCCCAGGCGGTATGGAACCTTTTAAACCCTCCCTGAATGCAAACCACCTTCGAAGGAACTAAAATCTGGGCCTGTCGACCATAGCTAAACCCTTTGGTCCCTGAAGTGGGTGGCGGTTAGTGGAAACCCTCTTCTCAGCTGTCCAAAGACGACCGGATCTGACAGGAGATCTGGCTTTCCCGTTTTCGGTTCCCATTTTTGATGGCCCCACAAGGGTCAAAGGGGCATCTTGGGTTCCCATTTTCAGTCATGCCCTGAAAAAGGTGATCGCCTGTTATTTGTGGCTCCCTTTCCCGTTTTCGGTTCCCATTTTGAGTGGTCCCAAAAGGGTTTACCTTTCATTTCTGGGTGAATGAGGGAATGACCCCGACTTGAACCATTCAACCGGTGGTTTCCTTTAAGGGAATGCAACTGTGCCAAATCTTGCTGGTGCTCAGCAGGTGAGGGAATGAACCTTAACAATCCATCCCCTTTGATTTTGCTAGGGGAAGGGCTTTTGGGTTCATAGCAACTCATGACCCAATATATATTCAGCATTCAGCTGGTGGTGTCCTTGAAAAGAATCCCCCGAAAAAACAAAAAACCTTCCACTGGTGGCTTCCATTTTCGGGGACCAAAGCCTGGGGTTCCTTCCAACTCATTCCCCACCCACTGATGGCAGCGATGGCAAGCGAAAAGCTCAGGAGGCTGCCGCGGAGGTGGCGGGCCTGGAGCGCTTGCCGAAGGCCGACTTCCCCAAGGGTCTGCAGAGCGCCTATAAGGCGCGGTCGGGGCGGGGGGAAGGGAGGGGTAGGGGGGGGTGGGGTGGAGGGAGGGGTGGGGGGGGGGGCTTAAGGTGGTGAGTTGGTTCTGGCATGCATGCGAGAAGTAAAGAACACTGTATAAGGCCTTGGGGGTCCCCAGCTAGCCGGATGGGACGAGGGAGCGGGGGGGTGGGGGTGGGATGGGTAGGGGTTGGTCACTTCCAGTTTTGGGTCTGCGGAATCTCGGGGGTTGCTTCATTAAGCAAAAAAGAGGTTTTGCGAATCCAACTCTAGGAGGCTGCGGGGTTTTCACTCAAGCCCTTGTTTTGCGGACAATCTTGATGTCCCTTTGTATGTGAAGAAAGCAACAACCACGAAGAACCTCGGCAGGGTCTGAACATTGACAACACATGGGGTTCTGCCTGTTCCCTTCATTTCGTTTCAGGGGTTCAAGGGACATCAGAAGGACATGGCCTAATTTTAGGCTCTGGCTGGGACGAAAGCAGGTTTTAAACTTTTGGGTAAGACTAACTTATGGGCGACAAGAGTTGACCTTCTGTTTAGGGTTTGGGCTCAGTCAGAGTTGCAAAACAATCCAAGTTGCCAGGTAAGGATCTAAATTATAGTCCTTGCCTTGCGGCATAACTTAGCTGACCTTGCAAATTTCCCCAGTTGGGTTTCCATCATGTTCCCTCCTACTCACTCCCTGCTTTATGGGAAGACCATGGTAGCGGTAAACAAAGCGTTTGGACCCCTTCTGGCCTATCCACTGAGGAAGTCAGTGAATCATACCCAGCGATTCCATGTCCGAGCATAGTAGGTAACCAAGGGAGCTGCCCTTGAAAGGCCCAGAGGAACATGGCTGATTACGAGGGTAGGGTGTAAAGACGACTACAAAGCTGTCCTCAGGACTTCTTGGGCAATTCCTCGAGATGACCTTTACCTAGTCATCATGCTGGCTTGCCTGGGAACCACTGGGAACGAAACACGAGTTGAGGGATCGATCCCTTCCGCCGTGCTGGAAGCCGAAGCCGATGCCGTTCTTCTTGGACCCAAAGGAACATGGCTCATTACCTACTAATCATAGTGGCTGCCTGGGATCCACAGGGAACGCCCAAAGTTCCCCTTTTGGCGGCCAGATCCATCCCTTGGTGGAAGGTCATACCCCTTGTTCCTAGCCTTTTTGGGTTCATTTGTCCAAGGGGTATGTAAAAGGGGTATGTACCTTGGCACCCCGTGCTTTGTGCGAGGCCTTCTACGGGCAGGAGCCGGCCTTCACCAACTACGCGCTCTCGGGCTCCAACTCGGAGCCCTTCATCGCCACGCTGGAGAGGGGTTGGGATCTTTTCCGCTGCATGCTGGACTCAGGGGACCCCAATTTTGGGGTCCCAACCGGGGTTTGAAAGGGAAACCAAGGGAAACCAAAAGGAAACCCCACGATTTTGCTCTATCTTTGCACCATGCTGGACTCATGGTAACTTGCTCAGGTGCCTGTGGGTCAAAACCCCGCCATAGGTTATGCCCCATGACCAAGTGGTCCTTGAGCCGCAGATCAGAAGTTTAATCGTTTTTTGTTCGGCACTCAGGAAGTCAGCATTACTTCCCTTCAAATGAACGGAAGAAACTCAAAAATAGACGCTCGCAACAGAAAAGGAGATTCCGCTCAAGATGACATTGTTCTGGGTTCCACACGTCACATGTCACATGACTGATTTCCCATTCACTAGCAACAAGTTCAAACTCTTTCGCCTTTCTCTTTGGTTCAACATTGTTTTCCGACAATCATGGAAAAAGACTGGACAGTGTTAAAAGAATATCATTACTCGAATATGGCTTCCCTTCTTCTATGCATGTTGGGTGCGGGTTTTCATTAGGGTGCCCTGTTTGGGTTGGTTTTAAAGGGCAACCAGAAGAAGCGCACCCATTCTGGCGGGTCTCAAACTTTGACGCCGAATTCCCCAGCGAGCAACCTGTCTGACGTGACTTTGCCATGAAGAGCCTTTTGTTTGGAATCCTTAGTACAGGCTTGGAACGATCATGTCTCAGACTCTGTTCATTTCCGTTCACCAGCATGCTGGTTTCAAAGGGTTACTTTGGCTGCCTCTGACCGGGTCTACCAAAGTGAGTGAGTGAGTGAGTGAGTGAGTGAGTGAGTGAGTGAGTGAGTGAGTGAGTGAGTGAGTGAGTGAGTGAGTGAGTGAGTGAGTGAGTGAGTGAGTGAGTGAGTGAGTGAGTGAGTGAGTGAGTGAGTGAGTGAGTGAGTGAGTGAGTGAGTGAGTGAGTGAGTGAGTGAGTGAGTGAGTGAGTGAGTGAGTGAGTGAGTGAGTGAGTGAGTGAGTGAGTGAGTGAGTGAGTGAGTGAGTGAGTGAGTGAGTGAGTGAGTGAGTGAGTGAGTGAGTGAGTGAGTGAGTGAGTGAGTGAGTGAGTGAGTGAGTGAGTGAGTGAGTGAGTGAGTGAGTGAGTGAGTGAGTGAGTGAGTGAGTGAGTGAGTGAGTGAGTGAGTGAGTGAGTGAGTGAGTGAGTGAGTGAGTGAGTGAGTGAGTGAGTGAGTGAGTGAGTGAGTGAGTGAGTGAGTGAGTGAGTGAGTGAGTGAGTGAGTGAGTGAGTGAGTGAGTGAGTGAGTGAGTGAGTGAGTGAGTGAGTGAGTGAGTGAGTGAGTGAGTGAGTGAGTGATGCCCTCCAAACTGTGGTATTGGGAGCCCACACGGCCTTTGTCTTGCACCAACCGGGCGCCAAAGCCAATGCCGCCATTTGAAAAGCGGTTTACCAACAACTTGCTGGTGATCGATAGGGAATGACCTTCCGAGACTGGGTGTTGGTTTTGGGCTCCCGAATCAAGGAAACCCAATCGGGCGTTGACCGAGACCGGGTGTTGAATGAACCGTGTTGGGGATTCCCTTAAAGGAAACGCCAAACCGGATGGTTTGCCTATCAAACCAGGAGGGCCCAACAAAACATGACAAGACGCTGCGTGTCTTCAGCTGTCTGGGCCTCTCCGTGTCTGCTCAAGTCAGCATCACCGTGGGACTCAGGCCAAGGGCATGGGAGCTGCAAGGTTCCTTTGACTGGGTTCTCCTCAGATATGCTCTATTTTCCAGGGCTCCGATACATTGTTCAACCATTTGAAACATGAAAATCCACCAAAATAAAGGGAAACCACCATTTACAGGGCAATGTTCAGGCGTATAATGTAAGGATCGCTGTTTTCGGTTCCACTTGTGAAAGAGAGCCTGACCATCTCACTTTTGCTGATACTCCAGATTCAACAAGCCTCAGTTTGCTCATGTGGCATGGTCAAAGCGCCCTTTCTGGGCTTGGGATGGTCAGGGACGCTCCCTACATTTTGGAAAGGTTCAATACGGAGCCTGGAGCCTTTGGCTTCCTCCCTGAACGGATGTTCGCCAGCCGCTAGCCCCAAATTTGGCCATTGCAGCGCAATCCATGTTGTTGTATTTCCGTTACATTGGACCCATGTGGATAAATGTGGGCAAAGTTGGACAATATTGCATACATGCAGATTGTTTGGGATTGGGACATCGGATTTTACTCGCGGAAGCCCAACAGTTGAAAGCAACGACTGCTGAATGTTGACCTTTTCTCGTGTGGATACGGCTGTGACATCCACCTCAAAAGTGGTTGGACATGAATCCCCAGCGAAATGATGTCCACCAAAAGCTCCGGGGGGATTTAAATGAACATGAACACCGCCTTATTGCAGGACTACATTTGGTACAGCCCGGAGAGGCTGAGAGTTGTCGCGTGCCGCCTGTCCGCAGGCAACCTTTGGGTCACTGCGTTTAGGGTCCAAGCGTACGCACAGCTCGATCCTTCTGGACGAATTACCCGGAGCTCTGGGGGTAAGACAAGCTCACCTATGGTGAAGTTACACTAATTCAGATTGAATGATAGTGCAGATGTTTAGACCCTAATGCTCATGTCCGGGGTGGGGTCAAGCGGTTGGTAAAGAGATTCGCTTTACTTGGAGGCTTGCTGTTTGCCAGGTTTCGACTGAAAGCGGCTTGCTGGTTGGAACCAGCCGGGAGCGAGGGAATGAGCCTTCTGAAAAATCCGTTTAACTTGAAGTTTACCTCCTTATCTTTAAACTCCACCGAATCCATGTGGCTGTGGCTCAAAACAACGACTGAAACCTGCGTTTCCCCTGCTCTCGAGCCACAATCCATTTAGGGAATAGCATTCGACCATGAGGGCAAATGTGGGTGATTGACATGGATTTGGGAAAAGAACCTCCGTCCCTCTTTCCCTCAGATCCTATCAATCACAAGGATGGCCACGTCTCGTGTTTCGTACCAATTTGAAGTGGGTTAGTGTCAACTTGGTTACTATAGTGGGAAACGGCATCACTGGGCATTTCTTGCCTCTGAGTCTTTACATCATGGTGCTCTCCACTGGCTTGCCTGGAAGCACTGGGTAGAAGACACACCTGGAGTCTCCATGACCCTAAAAAAATGGGATCATGACCCAAAACAAAGGGGTCATGGCCCCATTAAAAGATAGAGGGCTCATGACCTCATTGAAAAATAAAGGGCTCATGACCCCGTTATATAAAAAAAATAAAGGGCTCATGGCCAACCATTTTTTAAGGGTCAGAAGGAGACTCCAGTTTCCCCTGGTTGCCACCTTTAGTGGCTCCTTTAGTTGCTGGCCCGGACGCATTGGGTATAAGACACGCACAAAGAGCCACTTCGCGCCTCGAATTCGAGGCCAGCAGCTGCCAGCGCCGGCGTCGGCGGAGGGCCCCTTGCCCAACGCCCAGGAGCCCTCCGACCACTTGCCGCTGCACGCCACCTTCAGCGCCTCGGTTCTTTTCGTTGTTTTTTTGTTCCTCCTTTTTTTTCTTTGGATTCTCGGATTTTTGCATTTTGTTTTTTATTGTTGTTTTCTTGATTTTCGGTTTTTCGGATTTTCGGAGTCTCATTTTTTTGGGTTTTTCGGTTTTTCGGATGTTCGGATTTGCCGAGCGGAGGAGTTGTTTCTGCTCCCGGGGCTTTTCGCTCCCAATGCCAGATTTCCATATTCTCGCTTCCTGAGTTTCGATGTTGGGATTTGTTTTTCGGATTTTCCGATCGGAGGAGGTGTTTTCTCCCGAAATCTCCGAGTTCAACATCATGAGTTGATTCTCGCTTGGGTTTGTTGGACTTTAGTCACTTTTCGGGGTTGGACCTTTTTAGTAGTGTTAACCCCGGATTAATAAACCCCTGGTTGATTAATAGGGGGGTGTCCCCTTTTAGTGGGGATTCATCACTTTGGGAGGGAACACCCCCCTAATAGTGGGACGGGTTTATTAATCCTGGGCCAACATTAGCAAGCAATGAGAAATAGGAAACAGATTCGGAAAATCTCTCCAGATGTGGGCCTGAGCAAGGGGGGCAAAGTATGCAGTCCTTTGGGGCTCTAGGCGAAATAGGGTTACGCTTTGAGGGTACCCTTTTTCTGGTTGGTGAAGGGGAACAACAAGACAGCAACCCAGTCTGGGAGTCGCCACATTCCGACACATGCCCACATGTGTTCCTCGCAATCCGTTACAACATTACTGCCCTGCAGATTTATATCCAAAGACAAATCATTTTTAGAGCAAACTCATGTAAACCTGCAGGGAGGTTTGGAGCTATTCTAGTTACCTGAAACGATGTTGGTGGGTGCCAAAATGGATTAGGTTGTTGTTGCGGGCACCTTTAAAGAAACACTAGATGATTGGCAAACAAAAGGAGGTGTATCACATGTTCCAGACCCGGTTATTTTACATGCCGTTTCCCTGTTTCCAACTGCAGGGTACGCCCAGAAGTTGGCCTCAAAGGGGGTGAAACCTGGTGGTATATTTGTTGAAAGGGCAACTGAAGAGAAACCAGCAAAGCCAAAGAATAGGCATGTGTTCTTGTTCAGGGTACCATGTTTTGGTTGGCTTCAATGGACAACCAAAAGGAGAACCACCATTTTGGAGGGGGTCCCATTTCTAGCGTTTGGGTCAAAGGGCTTCGGCATGACTGGCGCCTTTTGGAGGCCAGGCGAGCCAACAACTCACCGTGTCATGGTTTGGTCTTTTGCCGGTACCCTTAACAAATGGAATCATGACCCAAAAATATAGGGGTCATGGCCCCATTTAAGGGTCATGGAGACTCCAGGTATCCATGTTGTGGCTTTCGAGGCGCCTCACAAGTGGCAAGAGGAATTCTCTGTATCTTTTGTCTGACACTCGCTGTATTGGCCTTTTCGGGTGTTTGGATCCATTCCCTTTAAGCAACGAGGGGGAAGTGGGCAGTGGACACAGCGCACACCCTTCCAGGTTGCCGGGTAGCATTCTTGACTCGCGTTCGAAGGATCTCTAGAAGTGTGACTTGTGCTAGGGAACCCCTTGTTTGGTTGGTTTTAGGAGGAATCGAAAAGGAACACCACCAGTTTGGGAGACCCTAAAAAAGCAGACCCATATGTCCTTTGTTCGTGCTTTAAACATCAATTTGTCGGCCCCTGCAAGGTGAGTTCACTTGGGTAGGGGTGATGGAAATATAGGACCCTGAAAGTAGCAACGTGGCAATCGCATCAATTGAAATGCACTATTGTCCATACGCTGCAGCAGTTCCGTGTCTGCTGCCAAAGAGACTCCATTTGTGGTTAATTGTTGTTAAGCGTCACCAGCTTAGAGCGGATGTGCGCACATGTGCTTTGCGGACTAGTTGTCGATTTGACCTGGTATAGTATGGGGTGTGTCTTTTTGGGGGGACTCCCCCCCCAAATTGGAGGTTTCCTTTTGGTTTTCCTTTAAAACCAGCCCCCAGATGGTACCCTACAAAAAGAGACGCCGATTTGTTTGCCAATTTCTTTGACATGCAACCCGTTTGTCGAGAACGAGGGCACGCCACGCCTCTCGCAGGGATGAGCGACCATTGAGGCGAGTGAAATCAGGGTTGGGCCAAACAAAAAGTGAAGCAGCCCCGGGTGCCAGAGGGATACCCACCCCAGGTCGTTAAATCAAGCCTAGCGGGTGGCTTTGCAGTGGGTACCCCTTGTTTGGTGGTTTTAAAGGGAAACGAAACATGTTTTTTTCAGTTGGTACCCCTTGTTTGGTGGGTTTAAAGGGAAACCGGACCACCGAGGCCATTTTGAGGCTCCACCAAACAAACCGACTGCAAGAAGTTGGCCCAACCTAAAAGTGACTCGAGAAGGACGTGAGCAGCGCCCGAAGCCCGAAGGATATTTTTTGCAACTTGCCCAGGGCTCCATGGCTTTTTCAACAACATAAAGGGAACCCACCATGTACCAGGTAATGTTCAGGTGTATAATGTAAGGATCCCTGTTGCCACTGGGTTCATTATTTGACGCTTTCTGAGGGTCATCAAAGTCAGAATCTTTGGTGTTTTCCTTTTGACAACCACTTGGGGCGTGACTTTGACAATCGTAAAATAATGGGGCCAGTGCCAGACTATGCTTAGTTTGTCGACGGTTGGTCTTATTGGTGTTTCTTCATGTTCCCTTTCATCCGGCAAGTTTTTGTTTGTTTGGCAGGGAGTCGAAGTTTAGACCAGTTGGTCAAGGATTCTACTGGAAAGAGGAATTTAGTATGGCCTAAACAAAAAACCTTCAACCATGTCTGGGTAGAGTCCGGAGTCCAAAGTTGCGCTGGTTTTGGGCACTGCTCAAGTCAGCCCAGTTGCCTAAAACTGGCAACGACTGCATAGTAATGTTACCCCGGAGTAATGATTCCGGATTCACATTGTGATCCGGGCCCGTCTAAAACAGCTCCATCAACATCAACAATTTTTCCGGGGTCAGCATTGGCGCGAGATTAGCGCTTACACGACGCAGCCAATGCGCAAGGCAATAGCCGTGATGGAAAAAGGGGTTTTAGCGCAAGGGTCTGATCGATGGAATTTGGGAAATTGCTCGAAATATGTTCTTTTAACACCCCCCCAGATAGCCAAGTTGCTGCTTTGTTCAGTCACTGCTGCTGGTCTTTGGGGTTTTTGTGCATGGCAAAAAAGCAAAAGCAGGCGCGTGGCGGGCGATCCCGGCCGTTTCACCCACCTAAACGTGGGTTGTGGGGTCTGCATACGCTTGCGCCCCGATCGGACCTTGAGGGTGGGACGTGACCGGTAGCGGAAGATCCCCTTCGAGCGATAAAGAAGCCGCGGGAATGATCCATATCACGGATGTGAATTGTCAGAGGTTACTTCGGTGCATTTTGCCAAGGGATGTTAGGACTCTAACCTCTTTTTTTCCAACTAAGGGGTTTTCCGAATTAAACGGCCAAAAAGTTAAACTTTTAGCAGGGCCTTTTTGTTTTTCCAACTAATGGGTTTTCCGAATTAAACCTCTAAGAGTTAAACTTTTAGCAGAGGAGCAGAAAGCAACCGAGCTTCTTAGATATGCTGACAGGAGTCAAGGGGATTTTCAGGTAGGGTCTGGAGGTCGCAGGTTGTATACCACTTGAAAAAGGACATATTATATAACATAGTGTCATTCAGTCATAGCTTATCTTGCGCCTTTTTTCTTCTGAACATCGAACCCCCCCCTTTTCGTGCACTGGATGTAGTTCGGGTATCAAGCTGTAGGCTTGGAAGTTGGTGAATGTTTCTCAAATCGAAATGATCGAGGCAGCGTATGCCTTGGGGTTTTCCTTGCCAAGGGCCCCAGAAAAAAAGAATGGCGGCTTTGGGACCCAATTTGGATGGAAAATCCTGAGGTAAATTTCATGGTTGTACAAACCCCCATTTTTGTTTGAATGATAGTTTGAACCCCAGGCCTAAGTTCGATCAGCTTTTTGTCCGCGCAATGTGTTTCTGCCTCAAGGGACTGAATGTTGGAGCCAGTCCGATTGGAATCCACCTTTGCGCGACACGGTTTTGGCTTCAACCCCAAAAGGCGGCTGGAACCCAACTGGGGGTTGATCAAAAGGTCCTTTACATGACCATTGGTTGGAAAGCCACCAAAGAGATGATACTGTGGATGGTTGCGAAATGCATTTCGCACCACCTAAGAGACCCTGGTTTCTGATGATACCCCTGTCGATACAAACGAACAATGGCTTCCCATGGCTTCAACGTGGTGCGAAATGGATTTCGTCCATCCGCAGTATTTCCCCTCGAAAAGTGATGACTCCCCACTAAACCCAGGGACACCCCCATATTGATAAACTGGGTTGATTAATATGGGGTCAACAGCAAATGGGAAAAGTTGCCATAGTCATTTGGCGGTCAGACATACTAGGTCACCCAGTAGTGCCCTTTCTCACCCTTTCTTGGGGGGAGGGTTCCCCTACTAAAATAGACAAAAAAAAGTACCCTTATTCTGCTCTCTCTACTGGAGCTTAGAATAAGCATGATCAACCCCCAACTAAAATCATTGGGCACCAAGTCCGGCGGAGGAATCTATATGGGGGTTGCAACACATCCAGGCCAACCATAGCCACGGCAAGGGGCAAATGGCAAACTGACTCATGACCAAAATGGTTGCCTTGTTGGGGTCCCATGCTCAATTTGTGCGGGTTCCTTCCACCGACATATAGAGGGCAAGTTGGAGAGTGTGGCTTCAGTGGAGCCAGTACCCTTTCAGAGACTAACTTGCAAGGACGCAAGAGATGCGAGCCAATCCATCGTTCCAGCTGAAGGAGGGTAGCCGGCTAAATCGCCCGTTTGCTTTAGCAGTTTCCCTCAAGAAGACCACAAGAGTATAACTATGTTCTTTTTCAGGCCCCCGGTTCAACACCCAGACTAGTTGCCAAACTTACACAGTACACACTCTATCAAGGACTGCACAGGTGCCACTCCTTCAAGGACTGCACAGGTGCCACTCCTTTTTTGAGGTCTCCGTTGTTTGTTGGCCCTGGCAATGGCACACCTTGAATTGTACAACCTTCGGTTGATTGGGCGCACCTTGGCCCTTGGATTAATAAGTAACTATTTTTTGGGGGGGAGGTGGGGGGAGAGGTAGGAGGGGAAGGTGGGGGGAGGTGGGGGGATGTGAGGGGAAGGTGGGGGCAGGTGGGGTGGGGAGGTGAGGGAGGTGAGGGAGGTGAGGGAGGTGAGGGAGGTGAGGGAGGTGAGGGAGGTGAGGGAGGTGAGGGAGGTGAGGGAGGTGAGGGAGGTGAGGGAGGTGAGGGGTGGAGGAGAGGGGAGAGAGAGCTGGTGCGGTGTGGGGAGCAGCACCTCCCCTCACCTCACCTCCCCCACCTCCCCACCCCGACTCGCTGGTTCCGCTCGGACCTCGTTCTCGAGGCAAGCGCCCTGGGCGATTCTCGCCTCGGCGCCCCTGGCGGCGGCCGCCAACGCGGTGCTGCGCAGCTTCCCCGCGGCGCTGCTCAGCGCCTTGGGCACTGGGGCACTGGGGGTCCTTTGCTTCCCCAGACTTCGCTGCCCTTTGTTTTCCCCTTGGTTTTTGGGCCCCTCGGGTGTGGATGGGAGGGCACTTGTTGGGTTCATGGTCTCAGTTGTTCAGTGGCATCATTTGTTCCATGATTTGTTTGATGGCTGCCCCACTAAGAATGGTCTTCACCAAAAAGGATCCCCTTTTTTCCAGGGTCACTGAACAACTCAGGAGGAGCGAAATGCGGATCTTGGGTAACCCCCTCGGTTGGTTTGGACGGGTTTGGATTTGAAGCGCTTATAGTTGGTTTGGATTCGAATTTGGAATTTGGAATTTGGATTGGACCTCGAAACAAAGCGTTGAGATGAAAAACACACATTGAGGAAGGTCTTGGTGAATGGGTGGTTTGGATTGGTTTGGAATTGGATTGGAAGCCCTGGTTCTTGTAGAGGGTAAATGGGCAACCACCCCAGAACAACCACCCCCGAACAACCAAACCACCACCAATTAGCGGGAAGCTGATTATGGAAACTCCGAAGTGAAGTTGGCACTTTGAGGTAGTAGGAGGTATGGAGGTTGTAGACCTCTTACGCAGGGCGTATACGGTACGAGCTTATATTGGTGGTACATAAGCATCCATACCTCCAAAATCCATACCTGGAAACGCCCCTGACAGATTAATACACCCCTTGTCTCATCAGTGGGGTGTCCCCTGGTTGCGGGGATTCATCTCTTTTGGAGGGGACACGCCCTATTGATAGGATGGGTGTATGAATCCGGGGTCAACAATAGTTGGATTTGTCCCAAAATTAGGGACCTCCGAATTGCTGGTTTCCCTGTTAACGCCAATCAACAGGGGTTCCCCCAAACAAGACACGTATTTGGTGTCACTTCCCGAGTTTCATGCTTTCAGGGTTTGGACCATGTGGCAAGGAAAGGTTGGGATTGATGTTGGCCATTTTTAGGAAGCGAATTGTTTGTATTTTCTGGTGTGATTGTGTTGGTTATTTAACCTGTTCCGGGCTTTTCTGGGCAGAGTGAACGGACATCACAGCCTTCATTTTCTCAGAGGCTCTCATGATTCCATGTTTGTTTTAGTGGTTAACATCACCTTGTAGGCCATTTCAGAACCAGAGAACCGAGGAAAGGGGTCCTTGAGGATATCATGGGTCCTTGACTGGCTGATTCAGCAGGGAGCAACGACAGCGAAGGATGGAAGGAGGGCTGACTGTATTGCAAGTGGGAAACAAGTTGGCAACCCTGAAAAATTGCCGCCATTTGCCGTGAACGTGGTTTGCCCACTGGCAGTTTCCATTGTGTCAATCCGCGCCAGTTGCAAGGATTCAAAGTTTAATCCTAAACCATTGAGTTGCTGGCTCTCAGAAGATCTCAGAAGGGCTTACGGCAATGACCTTTAGCTGAACGCTCAACTGAACCATCCATGTTCATTAACAACCCTGTTGAAAATTGCTTACTGAGGACTTAGGGCTCGTCAAAACTAGGGCCACCTTCTCCCCGTTTGTCCCCAACGGCACGCTACTGGGGTCTACAGAGGGTTCATATAGGTATGTGTGTGTGTGCGTGTTTGTGCGCGTGTCTTTTGGTTGGTTCGGGAAGCCAAAAGGACAACCGCCTGCTTGGGGTTTCCCAAGTCAAGAACCAGACACATCCCTTGCGGGGGCGGGTCACGGGTTGTCTTTTTGGTAGGGAACTCCCAAAATGGTGGTTGTCCTTGTGCTTTCCCTTTAAAACCGACCAAAAGGCGTTACCCTCAAGAAAGACAAACTTAAATCCATCTTTTTGACAACTCCCCGTGTGTCCCCAGCAAGTTCTTTATGGAATGCCACCAGTTGTGTGGTTGCCACTTGGCGTGCTCTTTGCACGGTTGGGCCCTTGGATGGCTTAGTTAAGTGGGTGTGAATTATGGCAAGTGAGTGTTCTGGATTCTGAGTTGAGGAGCCGGGATACTCTATGATATTGGCAAGAGAAACACAGACAATGTCAAGGTACGAGGTCTATGTGGTATGCAAACAATGTTCCACACCCTAAGTTTACAGTGTCCCACTTGTACAGAAGAAGTGCTGCCAGTGTAAATGCCTCAACTCTCGGCAGTGACGTCCGCGATCGCTTCAATGGCGGAAAGAAAGCTTCAGGCAAGCGAGTGCCGGAGGAACGTCAAGGGGAGGCCATGGGCGTCCTGGACATTTGCTCCTCGGCGCTGCGGGTAGTGGCGCCTATGCTGGCAGGCGCCACGGCCGGCACAAAGGTGATACGATGGGCGAAATCCTCTTAGGCACCTAAGAAACCCCTGTGTATGTTGATTCCCCTGTAAATACCAACAAACAATGGTGTCAACCATGGTTGCTTAGGTGGTGCGAACGGATTTCGTACATCCACAGTACTGTGGAGGGCGAAATCCATTTCGCACCAGGTTGAAACCGTGGGAAACTGCTGTTGGTATTTACAGGGGAATCATCGGAAACCGGTGCGAAACGCATTGCGTCCATCCACAGTATGTGTTTGTGTCGGATACCCTTAGCGAACGGATGTTGGGTGTGATGGTATTTGTCGTTCTCTAAATCGGAGAATAATTGACTCAATGGTTCACAATTCGGCTTGGTCCATTTGATTGGTTGATCCTAAGTTGCGTCATCAACTAGTGAGATAAGCCGGGATCACCTAAAGGTTTGGTTGAGGACATCACGTGTTTTGGTTTCAGCATGATTTACCTTGAGGTGGGGCGGTTTTGTGTGAAATATGCCTGACTCCCCTGTGATGTCCTGAAAGTTTGCAGCCAAACCTTCCTGTGTTTTGACAAGGCCTTTTTCTTTTTTTTGTTCAAAGTCACTACGTGCCATTTGAGGGTCCCCCAATTTGGACACCAAATGCTGATATCGGTAGAATAGGAGAGCCCACACAAGAATGTGGTGTTCCTTTGCTTTCTCCTTAAAACAAACCAACAAGGGTTTCCCCAAAAGAATCGCACCCGTACGGAACGTCAGGCGTGTTGATGGATCTTTTCGGCGGCGGTGCCTTTCTATTCCAAGCCTCGCTCTTCCTCGCGGCAATCCTCGGCCTCTCGCTGCTGGACAGCGGGAAGACTCTCGCGAAAGCAGCGAAAGGAGGGAAAATGGCGAAGTGTCTGCGAGTGGGTCAGCTAAACTGGCTGCATTTTGAGTCAGATCCTCGTCCTTTTTTTGGTTTTGGGTTCCCTGAAAACCACCATGTAGCTATGACTTGCTAGCAACTTCCTATGACTGGATGGTCCAAAGACTAACTTGTCAGCCTTCGTATAAAACTTAAACCGTCAGGGCTAATATGATGTTTGATCACCGCTTTTAGTAGTCGACTGTCCATTTGCAAAGTACTTGGGGAAACTCACCGAATTCTGACAAAACCCGAGGGGCTCGCCAATTGAGCAGCGATGTTTAATCAAATGAAAGGGCTTTTACAAGAATCGAACTGCACGTACTTTGCTGAGGCAATCTTGGTTGGGGGCGTAGGCTGTAGGCATCTGCGCGCAGGCTGTTGTGTCACCCCTTGCGTAGGCTTCTCGCATTTCCATGCTGGCTGGCAAGTGAAAAGGAGTCCGCTACTTCTTTTGCCTTCCTGTACGGTCTTCGCATAGGCTCCGCGCAGGCATTTGCGCAGGCATTCGCGTAGGCTTTCCAGCATCATTTTGAATAGGCTGGTTCTACCATCAGGAAAGAAACGCAGCGGTTCTCGGGTGATGTTATAGGGGGAAGGTATCCGTCCAACAAATCAGATCTCTCCCCAAGAGCTTGGGAGGAGCATCAAGCGAAAGAGATTGGCGAGATTGGGGCAAGCCAGGTTGATTTTCTGGAAACCAGGCGCCGGTTTTTGTTTTTTGTTTTTTTTTGTTTTTTTTTGGGGGGGCGAGCCTTAGCAATCCTCTAGCTTACTGAATCTTATGATATGATCTCCTTTGTATATTATGTCCAGCTAGTTGTTTTTTCTTCGTTCTACTTGTTTTGGGAATGTCGCTTTTTTGGTCCTTGATCTCCTCTATGCTTGAAGCACTTGGGCCTTGGCGCTCCTTGCCAGCTTCGGCTCACAGTCGCCATGAAGTCGAAGAAGGCCGGCGCAAAGGTTGGCGCGGCCAAGAAGGCGAGGAAGCTGAAGCGGAAGCGCCAGGCTTCCGCGGCCGCCGCGGCATCCGCGGAAGGCGCGGAAGGCGCGGAAGGCGCGGAAGCGGCCGAGGCGGCGCCCGCGGGCGCTAAGAAGGCCGACACCTTTCAGGCGGGAAGGTGGCGGGGTGATGGTTGTTTTCTTCCCAGTTCCTGGAGTATCCGGGCCTGACCCTTAAAAAATGGTCGCCCCAATATAAAGGGGTCATAAGGGGGTCATGACCAACCATTTTTTAAGATGACTCGGAGACTCCAGGTGGTTCCATGTTCCCTGGTTTTCTAGGTAACCAAGGGAGAACCCCACCCGAAAAACCAACTGAGGCCCAAACAGCCAGTTTCTTTGTCACCAGTCCCCAAACACTGAATAGTGACAAATAATTGTGGGCGGCAAGTAGCCAGCAAAAGTGCACAGTTACAAAGTGATACCACACCCCTCCGTGTTTTCCACCTCCCACCCAGAAGATTTCCGGAACCACCCCGGAAAAAAGAAAGAAAGAAACACAACAATCCGGAGCCTCCCGACCTCGCGGCGAGAAAATCTCCCAGCGCTCGCGGCAGGTGGAGTTCCAGTTCTTCGACCCGGAGGAGGAGGACTTCCACTCGGCGCGGGACCTGCTGTGCAGCGGCAGCTTGGGGACCTTGGAGCTTGACTTCTCGGGGCTGGCGAATGCCATCGTGGACCAGGCGCAGGGGACGGGAAAAATGGGGTGGTGGGGGGGGGGGGCTTGGGCTTCCTGGAGTCTCCTTCTGACCCTTGAAAAAATGGTTGGTCATGTCCCGAATCTTTATTTTGGGTAGTGATCCGAGTTTTTCAGGATCAGAAGGAGACTCCAGGTTGGGGCTTAGGGCTTGGCAAAGGCTTGGGGGGTCGGAGGGGGTGCTAGTTGGGCAATCTGAAAAGTTTGGGCTTCAGGAGTTTTGGTGGTATGGGGCGGGGGGTCTGTTGGTTGCGAGTTTCGGCGCGGCTTGTTATTTTGGATTGGTGTGTGTCCAACCAACCAAATATCCAACCAACCAATCAGCAAACCAACCAGCCAACCAGCCAACCAACCAACCAGCCAACCAACCAGCCAGCCAGCCAGCCTACCAGCCAGCCAACCAACCAGCCAGCCAACCAACCAACCAAATAACCAGCCAACCGGTTGGTTGGTTGGCTGGCGGTTGGTTGGTTGGTTGGCTGGCTGGCTGGCTGGCTGGCTGGCTGGCTGGCTGGCTGGCTGGCTGGCTGGTTGGTTGGTTGGTTGGTTGGTTATTTGGTTGGTTGGCTGGCTGGTTGGTTGGCTGGCTGGTTGGTTGACTGGTTGGTTGATTGGCTGGTTGGTTGGTTGGTTATTTGCTTGGTTGGTTGGTTGGTTGGTTGGTTGGTTGTTTGGTTGGTTGGTTATTTGGTTGGTTGGTTGGTTGGTTGGCTGGCTGGTTGGTTGTGGTTGGTTGGTTGGCTGGCTGGCTGGTTGGTTGGCTGGCTGGTTGGCTGGCTGGTTCGTTGGTTGGTTGGTTGGTTATTTGGTTGGTTATTTGGTTTGTTATTTGGTTGGTTGGTTGGTTGGTTGGTTGGTTGATTGGTTGGTTGGTTGGTTGGTTGGCTGCTTGGCTGTTTGGCTGGTTATTTGGTTGGTTGGCTGCTGGTTGGCTGGCTGGCTGGTTGGCTGGCTGGTTGGTTGGCTGGCTGGCTGGTTGGCTGGCTGGCTGGCTGGTTGATTGGTTGGCTGGTTGGTTGGTTGGTTATTTGGTTGGCTGGCTGGCTGGCCGGCTGGCTGGCTGGCTGGCTGGTTGGTTGGTTGGTTGGAGAGGGGCTTGGGGGTCCGGCCAACCTTGATGTTCGGCTTTTCGACGGGGTTTGCGTAGGCGCCATGCAGCTTTGGTATCGGGTGTTGTTCTGTTATGTTCTGTTGGGTTCGGACCTGGATGGTTTGTGTTTGCTTGGGTGGGGGTTGGGGTCTTGGGGTGTTGGAGTTACTGTTGGAGGGGGGGGGGGGGGGGTTTTGGGGGGTGGGAGAGTTTGGGTGGGGTTTGTCGTTGTGAGGTGGCTGCGATTGATCCGCGTGTGTTTCAGCTTCCCTTCAAATGGATGAGATTCCTTGTTTAGAGGCTCGGTACGGGGTTAATTCAAAGGGAATCCAAGGGAAAGCAACCCATTTTGGGGCTACGTGATTGCAAAGCGAGGTCAACATTGGCAGCATGGTGAAGTCTGGGCATGAGGAGGGCGTGCAATCGGAAGACGTGACCCTTTGCGGCATGCTAACGGTTCTGAATCTGCGACAGTTGCTCAGCTGCCCAAATTCGCGCCGATCTTCGGCTGCTTTGGTTTCCACACTTTGATCAACTTCTCAACATTCATAGGATGCAACACCCCCTAGCCCTCCCTCGCCAAACCCCCAAAGGGCCTTGTTTGTTAGGAATGCCTCGTTATGGTTTTATCTTGGGTCTTGGGCACAGGGCGTTGGAATCCTATGAAACATCCCGAGTTACTGCCAGAACGTTTGGGGAAGTGACGTGTCGAAGCCCACAGGTTTGTTGGGGATGGCATCGTCCATGATACTGTACCTCCTTCTGCCCCATAAAAATGATCGATCATGGCTTTGGGGGCTGACCGACCATTTTTTGAGGATCAGACTCGGAGACTCCAGGAAGCCCAAGCCCCCCCAAACCACCCCAACCCCCCCAACCCCCCCAACCCCCCCCTCCAGACCTGCAAACCCGAAGTGAGGTTTGCGAAGGAACCGTGGTGCAAGCAGCTCGCGAAGCTGCTGGAAGCCAAGGCTGGCGATTGCTTGGAGCTGAAGCAGTACACGCAGTCCTCCGAGCGCCAGGCGGTCCGGATGTTTGCCACCCCTTTTCTTAGCTGGGTCTCGCAGCTAGGTGCCCTGTCTCACCAACTTTTTTTGGGGAGGAACCCCCCCTATTAAAATAGACCACAGTTCCCTTTTAAAGTCAAGCAAGCAACTCAATCGAGTCTCTTTTGTCGGAGTTGGTACCTTCTTCTGGGGGCGTTTCAATGGGAAACCAGAGGGAAACCACCCACCTTGATCAAAACGCCGAGTTGCTTGGGGTCGGGTGGTCATGGACGGTACTTGTTTGTTTCATGGTTGATGCTTCTTCGAAACCATAGCCCAAGACCAGGTGGGTTTCGTGGTTGCGGAGCGGTTCGTGAATCTGCCTCTGGAACTGCTGCCCGCGATGCACAAAGCGATCCTGGAAGACATTGAGTGGTCCTGCACGGTCGAGTATTGCCCAGAGGAGGAGCTGCGTTGTTGTCGCTGGTTTCCGTTGCTTGGTGGTGGTCGCGTGTTTGTTTCAGGGTTGGGGGAACACAAAACCCTTAGGGCCCGTGCCGCATGTGAAGATTACTTCGAGTGACCCAGGGTGACCCAGGAGCCACGGGCATTGCCTCGAAGATCATTTGCAGGAAGGCATCTCAGTGTGCACGGCAAAGCCTTTTTTGCCTGTAATGTGTGAAAACCCCGCGATTGGACACATCCAGACACTTCGCTTGGGCGTTGCCCCTAAGAAAGGGACCCTTTGCCAGATGTTTCCTTGGGGAAATCATGCATGGAGGGGCGGATTCGCTGCGTGTATTGGATTTGGCAACCCTACAAATTGTTAGTGACGAGATGGTAGGGGCATTACCTGTAGCACCTCTTGAAGGCTGGAGAAGAAGAAACGCCCAAAGCCGCTGCCTTCTCAGTTGTTCAGTGGCACCCTTTTATCCTTTTTTTTTGTGGCTGCCCCAGTAAAATAGTCTTCCCCCACAAGGGTTCCCTTTTTTTCCAGGGCCACACAACAACTGAGCCCTTGCGCAGGAGCGGCCTTTCTATTTCTTCACCCACTTCCTGTGCGTGGCATCGTGCCGAGCCGTCGCCGGCACGGCCGAAGGCTGGGCCGAGGGCCGAAGGCGACGGATGGTTTACCCTCCGCTCGGGTACCATCCTGAAGAGCAGATAACACAGGGTTCCTCCACTTATCAGTTGTTCAGTGGCACCCTTTTTCCTTCTTTTTCGATGACTGCCCCACTAAAAAGGGTATTCCCCAAAAAGGGTTCTTTTTTTCCAGGGTCACTGAACAACTGAGACTTCCCTTTTTCAACAGTTGAAAAGGGGCACCTGGAGTCTCCTTCTGACCCTTCAAAAATGGTTGGTCATGACCCGAATCTTTATTTTTGGTCATGATCCCATTGTTTAAGGGTCATGGAGACTCCAGGCAGTTTCAATCTGCCTTCTTCTTTCTCCAGCTTTACTTAAAGATCCCTTAGTTCAATGGAAACCACCTGAAAAAAAGCAACTTTAAAAGAGAAGCATGTGCTAGAAACTC